CTTTAACCCTTTGTAGAAAACATTGCGATGCGAGTGAGCAAAACCTTCCTGGGGTTTGACCACCACTAAGGAATGCTAACGTAATTTTCACACAGCAACCTATTACTTGCATACGTATGTGGGACCCAAGAATAAAATAACTTACGAATGTAAAAATTTGCAAAAAAAAAAGTGTTTGTTTAAATGTTAAAAAAATACATAGAAAAATCAACTTGTCTTTGCTTTATCTCCTATAATTGAGGAGTTAGAGGCAAAGAGGCCGCTTCTATTATAACTGCTTTCTGAGAAATTGGCGTTAAAGTTTTTGATGTGTTATAAATTTCTTGTTGTTGTAGTTGGTGTATAAAATTAGTATCGTAGTATTGAAAAGAATTGTCTATTGCGAAAAAAATCGTTAGATTACCAGTATTCGACCCTAATTTAACTGTAATAAATGCTTTCGTCGAAAAATATGTTACCTATGTTTTTTCTGAGTTGCGCCATTTTTGAAGATCATATTCTTGTCCAGTGGCCCAAATTATGCAAAAAAAACTAATTTAAAAATTTAATTTTCATTTCGTAAAATTGTGTTTTATACAAGTAGTATTTAGTTCATTCAATCGATGTATTCAATGTACATACATCATGAAAATTTTGTACAAAATTCCTTAGGCGCCGAACGCCGCCGCCGCGCCGATATTTTCTTAACTCGGCGGCGGCGCGCGAGGAATGACAAAAAACGGCGACGGCGGCGGTGTGGCTCGGCGGCGTATACCTCTAATAGCTACAGATGTAAAATTATAAAATTTTCATTTTAACAATCAACCTACCAAAACCGAAAACTTCAGCGAAACAACATTTCAACATGCTGCATTTAAATCTATTGGTATATTTAAAGGTAAATTATGGTACAAACGAAAAATGTCATACAGCAACCATAGTCAGCACACACTAAAGTAAACAAACTGGAGATTAATAGCAAATTAGCCAAAACTAAACACAACAAACGTCGTTCATATTAAATTTACTCACTTTTTCGTTGTATACTAGCATTAATAATAAAATTTGCAATAAATAACTCAAAAAGCTGTGATCAGCTGATTTTCTTACTTGCAAGTTTTAGCTCTCAGAAATTTGCCGCTCTCTTTCACATTTTGCTCTCAATTTCCCCTACTTTGCAATTTTTTTGGGTACGAGAACGCAAAACCAGTAAAAGTTTTCTAAAACTTTAGATAGTTGAGCGTACTAGTACACTCCTAATGCTATCCTCTCAATTAGAGATGGGCATGGGCCGGGTTTTGTCAGCACGAACTCGTGCGTGCATGGGCGTTCAGTAAAATTTCATAAAAGCACGAAAAAGCCCGTTGCTAATGCTGCAAATTTAGATAAGCTTTTGTTTTTATACAAAAAAAAAATAGTACATATTAAAACTCGTCTGATAAGAGAAAGGCAAAAAAAAGAAATATTTGGAAACCGATAAAAAACCGATTTAGTTTTGTTTACATGTCTGTATATAAAATACCTTCCCCTTTTCTGCTTCCTAGAAAATATATGTATTATAAAAATCTTTGATGTAAAAAATTGATTCGCTTAAGTAAATATACATATGTACATAAACACAAAATTAAAAGTATGTACATATGTATGTATACATACAATAAAAGTTGGCTCTTTATTTCCGGGCTGGGACGTGTCCGGTCGTGCCGGGCTGGGCCATGCCGGGCCTTACTAAAATTCTTAACGTGCGTGTTTTTAAAAGTTGATTTTACATTCGTGCCGGGCCGGGCCCGAAAATTTAGGCCCGTGCACATCTCTAATCTCAATATACCGATTCACATGCTATATACTCTTTGTAGTGAATTAATTGAAATGCAAATTTCGTTTTTAAAATCGAGCGCGGTTTAAGCAAGGTTTAGCTGATAAGTGCGATCCATACGAGCGAATAGGACCAGCAGACAATAAGTTCGGGAAAGTTGAAGAAAATTATCACTTTGCCCTCTCAACCCACATGGTTGTTCAACTTAACCATATTCTGAGTGATTTGATCTGTATAATACTGATAAATTATTTTCTAATTGCCATCAGTTTTTACAATCACGCGTTAATCTAAATTAATATTGGCATAAAGTAGCGACAGTTAATTGCGACTTTGGTTTTCCTCGACTTACCAGCATTTTAAAGCTTTAATTTTGTACACTTTCTAGATACTAATGCAATGTGGATATCTGTAATATTATTGACATTTTAAATCAGGATAAATAGGTGTATATTGAATTCATCCTAAAATACCGAATATTTGCCTTCTCTGTTTTGTGTTTCTCTTTAGGAACTGCAGCATGAACGTGATTCGTTACAGGAGCGTATGTCTGAGCAAAAACAGAGGATCTCTACACTGCAATCTCGCCTCGAAGAGCAAAGAAAGCGTGCAATGGAGCTACAGCGGGTTGGTTCAGCTGACTTAAATGTGCGTATTCATGATTTACAAACCGAAATCCAAAATCTGCGCGAGACACTTTCTGTACGCGACAAGCAGATCGCTACAATGAAGCAACAACTGGAAAAGAGCAAAGTTGCAATAGATCGCCTTGAAGCAGAGCTGGCAGTGGAGCACCAACCGGACCGCAGTATTGTGGAACGCTTGGAGGCTGAGTTGAAACAAAAAAATGCAAGCATACAACTGCTGAAGGAGAAGATTAAGAACGAGATGATAAACAAGTTGGCATTGCCTGATTTAATGGAGACAATGTTGGCTGATAAGAATGAGGAGATCGATCATTTGAGAGAACAATTGGAGTCGAAGGAGAAAGAAATACAGGAACTCAACTCGAGTCAGGCATCCAGTTTGGGCGCCGGCGTTGGCGGTAAGAGTGGCAAAGAAGAAGTGAGCACAAAGTTGAGTGCTCGCACTCTGAGTGACATTGTGTCCATTAGCGATTTCGATGAGCCCGATGTGATGCGGCGCGCAGCTGTAGTCCAGGAGACAACGCCGATTCAGTTGCCAGAGGGTAACCGCGGTTTCGGTCTTCACACAGTGGTAAAAAAAAAATTCAACTGTACATTAAATAATGTATGTACATACGTATTGCAATACTTTGTTTTTTTTACAGAATACTTCAAAGCAAGCAGTAGCGAATTTGACGCAGAAACGTAGCGAGGATTTGTCTGGATTTGTTGCGTTACGTCCAGCCAATACTTTTGAGAATCCGCACTACTTCCAAGACCCAAATGTCCTTACATTGACGGGTCAGTCGGCGGCAACGGCTACGCCACCCATGGTGCCGCGTCAAATTAACTTTTCCGCATTGACTGAAGACTCAAAGTTGAAAACGCCTGGCTTGGAAATATCTGCAGTAGAGAGAAAGGGTGTTGAAGAAAAAGAAATGTACCAGAAACTAGAGCATGAGGTTGCTGAGCTAAGAGAAAAGCTGCTATTGGTTTCTACTGAGAAAGAGAAAGCAATTTGTGAAAAGGATCAAGAAATGCAAGCCATGGAAGAAGAGTTAGTTGCTACACAAGTCCGATTAGGCGGCCTTCAGCATGAGCTGGAGCAACGGCAAACTGAAATAGAGGAGTTAAAAAAGGACGAACAAAAGTGTTTGAATTATCAAACAGAAATCGCTGAAAAAACCGCAGAAATTGAACTGCTGCTAAGCTCTCAGGAACGTTTGACCAAAGAAAATAAGGAACAGCAAGAACGATTGACTAAAGGCGAAAAGGAGTTGCTTAACTATAAGGATAATGACCAGCGCTTACAAAGACGTATTACGGAGTTGGAAGAGAAAATACTGCAGTCTACGGAGCACGAAGTGAACCAGCGCGAGAGTTTGCGTAAAGAGTTGAGAACGCTAAGTGAAATTCATGAGCAGTGCAAGAATACAGTGCGTGAATTAGAGATGCGCAAGCTAGACATTTCCAACCTAAACGAGCAACTCAAAGCCAAGGACCAGCGCTTACATATGATAACTAATAAATTGATGCAAGCAGATGAGAATGTCAGCGAGCTTCAGCAGAAACTGTCTTCACTGGAGGAGGAGGTGGAACGCTTACGCCAGCAACCTAACAGCGATAACAGCTCAAAACAGTATTCGGTTGATGAAATTGCTCAACAAGTCGAAAAAGAGCTGAATTATTCAGTACAACTAGACTCCAACATATTGCGCGCTATTGAAAGTGAGGAAGAAAACAATTTAGACCGCAAGAGTCGCGATAAGGCATCGCAAGAACCCCATAAGACTGAAGCGCAAGGCACAGATGATGAGAATTTCACAGGAGAACGTGAGCTGTTAAACCAGTTAGAGGTTTTGAAGGCGCAAATAGCCGTAGAACATGAGCAAAACGAAGAAATGCGCCAAGAGTTGCTGACTGAGAAACAGCACTCGCAGGAAATACAAGAACAGGACGTCCTGATTATTGAGGCTATGCGCAAGCGACTCGAAACTGCGCTGGAAAAAGAAGACGAGCTTCACAAGCTGTTAGATATCGAACGTGAGCGTTGCGAGCGCGTGCACACACAGTTGACCGCCATGCAGCGTGCTGAGTCTCGTCGGAATTCATTGCTGCTTAAATCGCCAAGCGATTCACCGCGCAAATCACCACGCTCGCTGGGCACCGATTTCGAGTCAGAATTAGCAGAACGATTGAGAAGTGAAATCAAGATGTTAACAGCACAAAATGAGCGGGAGCGCGAACGTTGTGTCGATGCACAACGTTCCAGTGAACGTGAGCGTCAACGCCACGAAAACGAGCTGCAGGAACGTGTTGAGTACTGTGAGAAGTTGAAGCGCGAAATGGAAAAGTTGGCGCGCGATAAAGATTCGGCTGAACAAGAGAGCGAGCACTTGCAGGAGCGTCTCATCTTACAGACACAGGAGATTGAGAGTTTGGAAGCTAGACTTGCGACTTTACAAGAAGCAGAAACGCGTCGTACTACGCGACGCGATCGCCAACAAAAAGAAAGTGCGCAATTGCTTGGTGAAATACAGGAAGTTAAGTCATTGCTCTTGGCCACCGAGACGGAACGGGATAATCTGCTGAAGAGCATCACGCAGTTACGCTTCGATGTCGAGCGTTCGGCGCAGCGTGAAGCCAAACTAGCCGAAGCGCTTGCTAATGCAAATATTAGTGCCGCCGAAGCCTCTGTGCCACAACAGTTTCTGCAAAAGATGAAGGAGATTAACGCCTTATTGGCAGAGAATACTCAAGAGAACCGACAAATGGCCGAGACTGTTCAGTTCCTCGTTGAGGAGAGACGTCAACTACAGAAGAAATGTGAAGAGCTCGAAGCACAGCTAGGTGGTACGGCGAATGTGGCGGATCTCGAGGAACGCTGCAATCATCTGTTGGGTCGCTATTTGCGGGTTGAGTCACATCGCAAGGCGCTTGTATACCAGAAACGTTACTTGAAAATTTCATTGCAAGGCTATCAGGAGAGTGAACAACGCGCACTGGCCGCGCTAAATGGTGGACACATTATGCAAGCGCAGCGCAACTGCAAGATGTTATTCAAGTGAGTTGTGGATAGTATTAAATACGATTTTTTAGGGTATTAAATGGGTATCATTTATTTATATTGTAGGACTGTCGCTTTGGCCGTTGTCGCCATTCAACGCATGAAATATATTGGCCGCACCTGGCGCACCGGCAAGCGGATAGTATCGAAATCTGTTTTTACAATAACACAGCAAAAGTAAGTAAATAGTTAATGTGGAGAAACCAAAAACAATACTTTAGTAGGGGGTTGGAGGCTGGCCAATTAAATATAATTTCCTAACATATTTTGTCTTTCTAAGCGCCAATAACAATAAAAAATCTGCTGTAACTGTTAATCTACAAGTAAAGCTCAATAAAGTCGAAAAAGAAAAAAATCAGGTGTAGCTCTAAGTGAGTATGTAACTTGCTTGAATAGTTAGTTATGCGTCACCGTCACAGATTTACGCGCCCATATAGCAAATTTTTCATTTTGAGATTGCATAGTAGAGCTGGAGAAACACAGATGTTGTCAAACATTCCAAGTTTGAAAGAAACAATTTGAGAATTAGGCTATTTAGCCTTTCACTTTGTAAATTTTCGCTTGGGATAAATTCTATTATATAAAAAACGCTTATAAAAATATAACGTTTATTTTTTCTATATTTAACTTGAATAATGCTTTTGTCCCTTCAAGGGCTTGAGATCAAAAATTACTTATGTATATATAAGGCACGGTTTTAAGTATTTTAAAAATTATTAAGATTTTGCTGACGTATGAGTAATTAATTTGAATATAAAAATGATGTTTAATGCTTTTTTCTCTGCAAGGACTCGATATCAAAAATTACTTTTATATAAATGAGTTTTCCCCCTGCCTCTTGACAAAGTCGGTTCTTTTAGCAAGACACCGCTAACATCGATGTTAGCAGCTCCTATAAAAACATCGATGTTTCCATCTGTGTTTTTCCAGCTCTATTGCATAGTTATCATCTGGCGGTTAATTCTCTCAAAGTTTACCATCGTAGTGCAATTAGTTAATATTTCCTCTAAAAAAAAAAAACACAAACACATTAAAAACGTACCACTGTAGATACTTTAATTGTATTTATATTAGCTAATGTATCTGCATCAACCAGCGCACGGCAATATGATTTATTTATTTTTAACCGTATATGTATGATTAAGATAAATCAAAGCAAATCAAAGATATGGTTCATCTGCATATGGAGAAAGATTTTATTGGAACTGGAAAAAACGTGTTCCACGCTGAAAAGCATAAAGGGGAAATCCTTTATGAACTACTAATTAATTTTAAATATTAAAAAATTAGTAATAGACATAATTTTTTATTAAAATATATTATTTGAATTTTTTTTTAATCTTTATTGAATTTAAATTTCTCAAAAGCCGCTTTAATATAAGTCAGAATTTTTTCGATATGACAATTTTGATTTAGTTCGGTTCGTTTTAAGGAGCTCTGTTGAACTGCATCAAAATTGCCACATCAGAAAAATGCTGACTTGTTCCTTTTTGTAATTAACCGATTCAATTCTAAAGCATCTCTGCACCTCTTATGTTTCACATGCATATTCCATCCGAATTTTAATTAATTTTTAAGTTTTTATTTATAAACAAAGAAATTATAATGCTTCAAACCCCCTTCTTGTAGACCGCCACAGCCGCCAATGCTTACATGCGCTGCTGTCCATTCAACTTATCCGAAGTCTCCTCCAACAATGCCATTCTACAATCCGCCTAGTCTGATGCGGCCCAGAGACCGTTCATTTCAGTCACTAAATTCGCCACCGCTGGTTCACGACTGTATGAATGGTGAAGGTGCCGATGATGGTGTAACATCAACTACAACATTAAATCCTGTGCCAATATTCGATTGGTCACGCATGCAGCCATTTCAACAGTAGCACCTGCTACTACCAGAGCCCTGACATTACCCGATAAGTGCATGTCCGTAAATGCTCATATATAAGACTTTCTCGAAATATCAATTCATTGAAAGCGTTGTATCATAGGAATAAGCAGAATTATACATATAAATATAGAATTAAAAGTAAAAAAAAAAATATGATTGCAATATAGCTCATGATCAAAAACAATGTCACAAATATTCGTTCAGTCTTGTATGTTCGCCCAATAGATCAAATTAAGAGTACGTTAAGTTATGTAAGGTATTCATTAACTTAATTGTAAGTCTAGTCGTTAGTATATTTATACATGCTCACATTTATTTCTATTTTCTTATATCTGCACAATAGTTATGTGCTTAAAAGTTATGTATGTTATAATCCAGTATTTTATTCAACACATTTCCGAGCGAAAGATAGTTTCTTTTGAATTCGACTAAATTAATTCAACTCTTTTTCACTTTGATTAACAATTGAATTTCATTTAAGTTTAACACCTAAATTTTTGGTCACTCAGAAATTTCCTTTACTAATTTAATGTAAGTAATTTTATTTAAATTATATTGAATGATTTACAAATTATTTTGGGATACTTTGTTTTTGGGCAAATCTTCATTGGAATGGTTTGTTTTGACTTTCGAATTTTCGTTCACTTCCACAAAATCAAAGTGCCTTAAAAGATTTTATAACAAATCGAAATATTTTAAAATGTAACTAAGTATTTTTTAGCAACAACAAAAATAAAAAATATGTTAAAGTCACATTTGTTGTATTTCAAATAAAACTTTGGCGTAATATTTAAAAATTGCAAACAAAATTTTACTGTGGAAAATTTTGCTAAGTGGTAGCACAATGTGGCAGGATAATGTGGCATTTTGTTAAAGTTATTTAGCATATGGGCGTTTCCTGCGTTACGGACGTTCCGTTTGGAGACACTTTTTTCATTATAAAAACTTTAGTAGGCTCTGAATGAACACAAAATTTATGTCATGAGTAGTCATCATCAAAACGTATCTGAAAACAATAAAAATATTTTCCACAAATGTTATATGGTAAGTGAATAGCGATTAAAAGTTCCCGTTCAGACGTTTCCAAAATGGAACTCGTATCAAAGATGACTGATGATTTTTGCTAAATTCTGCGAATCTGTTACTGGTACAAAAAAAAAACGATGTATGAATGGTTGTTAGAATAATAAGCAGCCATAACAATTGCATGAACTTAAACTTCCTAACGATGTTTAGTAGCTGCCAAAAACTGTTCGAAGTTGTTTGGACGTTTAGATTTTTTCCAGTGGATACAATTTTTTGTTTAAGAATTTAAACAAACTCGTTTTTTTAATGCAAATATGGGGTTTTATTGTAGATAAATCTACATCTATATAAAGGCCTTTATTAACGTTCGTTAAAGTCATTTCTTCGTACAAGCAGACGTACATATCGACGCCTCCAAACCATACTATGCTAAGTCGTGACTAAGTCTAAGCTGACTTAGGGTCGTTTTCTGAAGTAACCTTTAACTTTAAAGCTCACTTTATATTTAAAGGTCGGATTAAAAATAAAGCTATGGGTAAAATAAAGCATTTCTATTATCGGTTTTTTTGACGTATATATGTTTCGTGGTTGTAAATCAATTTTAACCCGATAATAAAATGCTTTACTTTAGACACAATCATAAATTTTAATGCAACCTTTAAATATAAAGTGAGCTTTAAAGTTACAGGTTACTTGAGAAAGCGGCCCTAAGCATAGTATGGTTTGGCATTCCCACGACAGCCGGTTCTACGTACCGGAATGACTCGGGTTTTACCCGACCAAGGGCTGTTGTTTCGGCGATCTAACCCCGTTTAGGTCGGCGAAGTATCTCAGAAGTTGTTCGTCCATAGGGCTACATTCACTACGTATTCTTCTACTCAGGGCTGGCATCGAGTCAAACCCAGGGCCAGAAATCTACACCTGCTGTGTATGCCGGAGACGACTACACCACAACTCCACCTCTGTCAAGTGTAATGCCTGCGAGGGGTGGAGTCACCTTAGAGTCTGCTCAGGACTACGGACACATCGACAGTGGACCACGTCGTAC